AGCCAGAGCCAGAGCCAGAGCCAGAGCCAGAGCCAGAGCCAGAGCCAGAGCCAGAGCCCACTCCTGCCCCTGCTCCTGAACAGGTTCCAGTTGCAGTTCCATATCCTGTTTATGTGCAGACATGTACTCACGTACCTCTACTTGGCTGGGTCTTTTCGTGGCTCGACTCTTCCATATGTTAGAGGGCCGGGGAGAAGTTTGCGACGGTTATGGGATAATGTTTTAGCATGGATCTTAGCAGTTTTGCGCTTTCCCTGATTATTTCCTTATGAGTTGCTTTTTATGTAGTTATTCTGTTCATGATTTAGCTTGATATTGCTCTCTAACCATATGCATTGAATTTTCCATATCATTATTACTCTTTTTCTGAGCAGCTACGTGTTTCTTACAATCATGAAATATGATTAAGCTTGTACTGGTGCCTTCTCCACGGGTCTGTAGCACTGCATTTCATTCCTCGCGGGAACACGTGGGCTTTGGAATAGAATACACTATTTATGTAGAGAAAGCCTCACATATCACTTTGGATCATGTCGATATATCTGCCGATATCCTTTTTGCACAGTCATGTGTTCTACAGAAACCAAGGAATCGTGAGTCTGGGGATGGAACCTTATCAATCTGGCCATCAGTATTGCATCACAAAGATTGTTTCTCGCAGAATATATACACTGGATTCCAGTTCCAATGTCCCTGGGAGCAAGCAATATGTCGTTCATACACGACCAGAACGAACGAGATTTCGAATGGGGTGACAAGAGTCCAGGTATGTGTCTCTGATTCGAAAAAAGGAAGACCGAATAACAAACCCAAACAGTCATCCCATCTCCCCCATCATACTCTCTCTCAACATACTCTCCCCCTTCATACTCATCACTGCCACCAATCCTTGAAGCAGCGGAGACGCCAGCATTAACTCCATCACAACCGGCGCAAGCCTCGACATCAACACCATCGCGACCTAAGAGAAGCCAACGCCGGTTCAAACCTAGAAGGTGCCCATGCTACTTCCATGCAGAAAGCTGCGTAAAGCTTTTCTGGCTAACAGTTGTCATAATTGTGATAGTTGGGTTTATAGTCGGTTTCATTCTGGGGCTTGTTGATTATTTTGCGCCTGGAACTCTTGCTCTCTAGAATTTTTTTCGGCTATTTTGCTTTCGCTTATATGATACCTAGCTGGCTTGTTGTACTTGCGTATTGAATGATCAAGGAAAGGGACTGTTCCATATCTGGGTATATTAGACCAAGTCCGCGGCGTTATCAACCTAGTCATCAGGATTGCATCACAAAGATAGCTTCTCGAAGAATTTTTCGAACGATCGAAACCAAAGCGTCAATTATATTCTAGATTCACGATGTCCACGACCTTTCTCATCTGATATATTCCAATGGCGAATATGCGAGCCCCATCAGTGGCCCAGTTTATTGCAAAGATCGGACATCAAGAGTGACTAGCGTATAAACACAGAGTCCAATTTTGACTACTTATCAACAGCCATCTGAAAGCAAGCAAACTAATATTCTCGCCCAAGCGAGAGCCTGAGTGAGGCGATAAGAGTCCAGGTTTACATCCAAATAACTTGCAAAAAGGACTTAACCAGGAACTTCTTCTCCCCCATTACACCCATCACTGCCACCACTGTCTGAAATACGACTAAGGACACTCCGCATTGATACAGAGCAACTCAAGTCCAAGGTTGCAAGGCATCGGTGTGAGTGTAGCAAAAAATGCTGTAATGAATAGTAGGCGTGACAATCTGTACATAATTAGGCCTATAACGGGACTGGTTCTCAGGTATGTTTATTAACGAAGATAATGGTTATGAGTTACGATCAAAATACCGAAGCAAGGGCGTCAGAAGAGGGACTGACTGCCACTACTACCGCTCTTGCGCTGCTGCAGTCATTCTTGTGTCGATGTGCCTGTTTATTCTCTATACCCCTCCTGTTTAGCTAAATTCTATAATATTTCCCATATTTGACACTGAATCTAATCATCAACATTGCATCATAACATTAATTCTTGAAGAACAAAATAATGGGAATCCAGCTCCATACTACTCTCCAATACACATAGGGGAGAAGAAAATGATACACCAGATAGAATCAGACCCTAAATGGGGTGATGATAACAAAGGTGTGTATTCACAGAACCTCAACCAAAACACAGTTCAAATAACAAAACCGAGCATCAGACCCCGAGAAAGGAGGCCCCAAGCCCAAATTACACCGCCGTTGCCGTTGCAAGGAATGTTCCAAACGACGCGTAGTCCTGATAGTCATTGTACTCTTTGGACTTGTTATCTCAGGCTTCTTCATCGCCGTGGCTGTTCTAGGTGGTCATGACAAGAAGGGGATGGATGATAATAAGCACGGTGGTTGTGATAATTAGGGCAAGGTCGGACGCAGGGCAGGGAATGGCGAATGTCACTACTACAACTTTTTTTTTGCTGCTGCTGTTGTTACTTCTTGTGTTGATGTACCTGAGCTATTCCATTATGTACTCCCTCTATCCTCTTAGGTGCTATCAATCTACTCATCAATATTACATCATGAATATAAACACTATTTTCTTTTCCTCACTGGAGCATATATGCGTACAACAATTCGTTAAAAACCCACCAGAATGGCCATTACAAGCCAGAGCGAAGACCCTAAATTGGGCGAGAAGGATCTAGATATGCATCCAAAAGAAAAAGGAAGAGACCAAAGACAAGTCCAAATTAACGAAATCTGATCAGAAAGCTTCACATCGGTACCACTCTCTGAAGCACCGACATTGGCACCATCAGACCCTGAGAACAACCATACCAAATCTAATAAGCAGCGCCGCTGGTGCAAGCTCAGTGAATTGGACTGACTCTGCCTATTCTTTGTCATACCCATGATACTGCTTTCGTGCGGGGCTATAGCTACTGTCGTCGTAATGGCTGTTCTATATCCTGATACTCCAATTCTGGGTGCCACTGTCACCATTACAAGGGGAGCTCCAGGGCCAGGTTCTGGGCTAGACCCGGCGCCGGAGCAAGAACTGATGGCTGATACTACTACTGCTGCTGCTGCCGATCCTGCTCCTGGTAATTCCACTTGCATTGATGCACCTGGGTTTTGCTAAAGTGTCATAATTTTGCCCGTTAGCTCTGGTTGATTTTGCTGTGATGATGCCTAGCTTGACGGTTGATTGTTTTTTTTTTTTTTTTCTTTTCACTCGGGAAGCTTGAAATGTAGTACGGATTTTGTACATCTCATTAAACAAGCAACCAACATGGCACATGCAAGCCAGATGGAAGACATTGAGCTGAGTGAGAAGGACAAGAACCAACCAAGCACTTCATCAACCATAACACTGCCGCTCTCTGAAGCACCAACACCATCAGATCTTGAGAACAATCAACCCAAGCCCCCTGCGTCTCTATGGTCCAATATATGCTCTCTATGGTCGAAGATATGGTGCTGGGTATGTCACTGGAAAGTCGCAATATTCATCTCAATCTTGGTATTGATGATTGTGGGGGCTGTAATTGGTCCGATAGTGGGAGTTGTCTTGGAAGAGAAAAAGAGAAATACACTTTACGCAGAATGGATAGCCAGGATATGGGAGGCAGCAATGAAGGATGCAGAGCTTGCTGCTAATAGTACTGCATCTGCTGCTACCTCCTGCGTTGATGGGGATGGGATTTGCTCAAGCTAATATTCCTCCTATTTCTTGTTTTGCTTTTCTTGTTTGCTTTGATTGCTATAAATATTTATACATATTGTGCGGAAAATTGAATCTTTCGGAGTCCATCAAACTCAAACACGGAGATGCCTACAATAGATGCCTAGTCGATGATTGACGCCTACATCTATATGTATTTCCGTAGTACCTACGAACAGGCAATCAAACAACTGCAATGTCTCATGCAAACCATCAAAATCAACGAGATCTCCAATGGGGTGATCGTATTGAGAACAATCCAGGTACACATACAAAAAGGGAAAGGGAAAGGGGAAAAGAATAACTAATGATACCAAGCAGGTTCTTCTCCTTCAGCCACATCATTGACATTCTCCCAAGCATCGACAATTCCATATTCTGAGGAAAGAGAGCCAATATCCCAAGCAACAACATTGGTAGCAGATCCTGACATAGGTCAATCTGACTCTCAACGGAATAAGCGCCGGCTCAGATCGTGGGGCGCTATCATCGCTGTAGCATTTGCGATACTTGCTGCAGTGGGGATTCTAGTTGCCATAATTGTTCCGTTTGTTGTATGAGGATGATATCAATGACCCACCAAGACAGAGGTGTACAGGTACTACTTTTACGTCTTTGACCCAGGTTAGTTGTTTTGTTTCGATTCCGGATGGTTCCCAATTTTATCGGTATGTCGGTAAAACCTTGTGACTGATATCTGGGTGCTTACTACTACTTGCTATCTGATTGTTATCTACCTAGCCAATAGCCCTATCTGGACCGGTATCAATTCAATTCTCGATTACATCATGACGATAACAATACTACATAGCCCTATATGTATACACAAAATATCAGTTTGACTGTGTATTACCTATACTTTATCCGTGGCCTCCGACCTTACATTAGCATTCTCTTCATTTATCTCTAGAGCAGACTAGCCATAGAGAACTCCATTCCCCGATGCGGTTTCGCCAACTAATCTTTGATTGGATATTCTCTAAGCCACTCCGCGCTCTCGGAATACTGGTCCATATACTCAAGGGCATCGTACGACAACTTGCGCAACAACGCATTGGCATGGGTTAAGGCTTCTTTGGTATGGCTGCCTCATAGTTGACATCCTCGCTTAATGACCGCTAACCCCAAAACGAAAGGGGACAGGCTTGGCACAGGATGAAGAGACTGCGAAGAGCATACAACACATGGGAGCCAGTGTAATTGAGGCCATTCAATCAGTTATATCCCCATAAGGACATCCTCGGGCTTTCTTTGTATCAGGATCACTCTCGTCGTCTACTCATAGTCGGCCAGGTCGCTGACTCAGCATCCCGCTTTTTTTCATCAGTTCGGTGCTTGTCCTGCGCTCGCTTTTTTCATTTTTCCTCTTCACGCTTTCGGTCGTCTCACTTTATTTTCATGTCTTTTTCTCCTTATCAATTTACGTTCTTTTCATCTTTCCCCCTAGCCTCTCTCCCCCCTTCGTCCTCCCTCTCAAGCACCGTTATAACCCCCGGTGTCCGACAGTCTATCTACTGTGTCGTTTCTGTCTAGAGCTGCCACGAGACGTGCGCAGCTCCCCGTCACGACGTCTTCCACAAAGCGCCGGAAAGTTGTAGAGCCTCGCAAACCTCACTCCCAGCCGTTGGGTGTACCGGTTGCCTCGCAGGCTGGAAGACGTCACGGCCATTCGCCCTCCGATCCTCCCTCGTCCTTGCCACCGCAACAGCGTCCTTCCTCGCAAAGCCGCAGTCGAAGCTCCTCAACCTCTCCACAACCTTCGCGTTATATACCCGCTCATTTGCAGGACCAAGTGCTGGGGACCTCCAAGTCCAAATCCGGCGCCCGTTCTTCGACCCCAGATTCGGTGGGCAGTTTACTCAATTCACCCTCCACCTCCTGCGCTGGCTTGACGCTCCACAGTGACCCGGCTACCGACATGTCTGGTTCAGAGAAGAGGGATGGTAGTGTCCCCCCTACCGATCGTGAATCGTCTCCTGGTGTTAAACGCCCGGCGTCAGAGATCTCCGGACGAGACATCGAGATGGATCTAGGACCTACGAAAACCTCGAACGATAATCATAATTCTAATAATACCGGTTCCGACAACGTCTATCCCGCTTCTTCCAGCATGTCTACCTACACCGCACCGACAACTACCCGCAGAAACTCCCAGTCCCAAGCCGCTGCCGGGTCGCAAGAGCACCTTCCGTCAATTGACGACCAGGTGGCCCAGGTGACGCTCGCCATGGCGCAACCATTGCGGGAGAAGCAAAAGGGATTTGTGCTTTCCATGTCGTGGATGAAACGGGTACTTGCCCGAAGCTCGACCCACGGCGACGTGGTGGATAAGACTGCAGCAGAAGGAGAAATCGGGCCTGTTGACAATTCGGATATCGTGCTGGTAACCGATCCGACCACCTCGGGCTTCAAGGATGAGGCCGGAGAGCCATTTGTGCCTCTCCGCCCGGGGTTGCAGATGGCCGAGGATTTCGAAATCGTGCCGCAGGAGGCTTGGGATTCGATAATGCGCTGGTATGGTCTGGCAGACCAGTCGCCCGCGATCGTCCGTTACGCCCACAATACGAACCCGACTGGCGACATGGAAAACATTC